AGGTGCTCACACATGCACATGTATATACACCCTTCCTTGTTGGTAGGGTCTTCTAAAGAGCCTTCGATGGCTTAGTAATGGTAGTTCTTGGAGATATGTTTTGCTTCTTGTAGTGGTGACTAACACGCCCTGGGCAGAGAGTGGGACGAGGTTAGGGCAAAGTAGGATGCCACCAAGCTTGCTGGTTTTCTTCTGTAGCTATCCCTGGCTAGATTCCAAAGTTCATAGAAGGTGATGCTGACAGGTTTTGCCAGAAAGCTTTTTAGGATACCCTTCACCTCATTTTTTACTGACATCCCTTTGAATTAGGAATTTCTCTTATTTTGTTTTTTTAGTGTTTTTTTTTTTTTGGTTTTTTTTGTTTTTACTGCTTTTCTTTGTATAGTGTCAAAAATAATGTTCTTTCCTCATGACCTTCAAGTTCTGAGACTTAGTCATACTGTGTGTTATCCAGAAATCAAGTTTCTTTTTGACCACCTTTCCCACCTGTGACCCCAGTGTGACTGACTGTTTCCAGTTGCACCTTGTACTTTGAGATTAAAGCACTGCTGTGTTTTGGATTGGAGTGGAATAGTACTTCTTTTAGTTTTCTTGTTTATTTTTCCCCCTTAAGTGATATGTGATAGAGAGATCTTATATGTCTTAAAATGCATTTATTTTATCTAACCTTTCACTTTGGATGTATGACAAAGGCATTTTTCCCTTTTTGAATTTTAATTACAATTTCTTTTCTTTTTTCTTTTCTTTTTTTTTCTTTCGAGACAGGGTTTCTTTGTGGCTTTGGAGGCTGACCTGGAACTAGCTCTAGCTCTTGTAGACCTGGCTGGTCTCGAACTCACAGAGATCCACCTGCCTCTGTCTCCCGAGTGCTGGCATTAAAGGCATGCGCCACCACTGACTGGCTTTAATTACATTTTTATTCTTTATATATTTATTTATTCGTTTGTGCAAACATACATGCTACGACATGTGGAGGTCAGAAGACAACTTCAGGAATTGGTTCTCTCCTTTCACCTAGTAGGTCTCTGGGATAGAACTCAGATGGTCAGGCTCAACAGCAGAACTAGTCTGCTGACCAGACCCTCTCCTTCTTATATCCTGGGCTACTGATTAGGGATGCTTCACCTCATTTACTTGGGTTCTTTGTGAGGAAACTTTATCATGTCCTCTTCAGAGTTAATAGGACCTTCTTAAAACTGTTACCAAAGCATGTGAGTTTAAGTCATCGTGTGTCCATGCTGCTCAGCTCTCAGGGGGTCTTTTCAACATAAAGGTATAGTGTTTATACTTCTAGAAAATCAGCTAATAAGAATTCTAATTAAAATTTCTGGAATATCATATTGTCTTAGTAAATTGATCTCTTTATCTAATTTCTTTGCCTTGAATTTTTAGCCTTTCTATTGAAGTTTTATCTTTTTTTTTTTTTGCAATTATGTTTTTAGTTCTTTTTTAATTTTTGGTCCAATATGTTTTTCATATTACTTAGATTTCTGCAAAGTTATAAAATAGAAATATTTAAATACACTTTTCCTGATTAAGTTTATCATTTTCAGTTTTGCTTTTTAGCTCCTTTTCTTCCTGCTGCTGGCTTTTTCATGAGAGAATTCTCACTTCTTACTAGGTTTATTTTTCTTGTTGATATTTAGTGTTTTTCCATATTGTCTTGGGTGTAGGGCTTTATTGATGGTATTCTCGGTTTGTTTTCCCACCATCTATCAACTGAGAGACTTGACAGTTAGGTTTACTTTACAAGGTTGAGGCCTTGATGGATGTTGTGATTGAAGAATAGTATTTTACCTTGAGCATGGTCATCACATCAACTCCTTGGAATGCAGGCCAGTCTCTGAAGGAGGGCTGCTTCTGCAGGTACAGCTAGTCCTCGGGGCTGACTCTACGCTATTCTCACATGTACCTCTGCTTTTGTGCCTGCCTTCTCCCAACCAAAGCATCTAGTTGTTGCCAGATGTGTTTCCCAGCCTCTGGCATCTGTGCCATGTGTCATTCTTTATTCCTGTCTTCACAGATGTGCTAACATCTCATCAGTTCTTCCCTTCATTGTTTCTTTCATTGGTGCTTTTTTTCTTTGTTACTGTCATTTTGATAGTCCTCAAGAGATCAGAGAGATGTTCCCAAAGCGGCATTTTCTGCCGGTACTTCTGGAAGTATACCTTGTCTAGTATACCTTGTCTACCTTTGTCTAGTATACCTTGTCTACCTTTGAGGATTTATTTAGTTCATTACTCTGGTTAGGTCCTGTGAGAGTCAGGTCCAAATTTGGAAATTAACGTGCTGTATAAAACTGCTAGGAGTTTGTTAAGGTGAGCTTGTTCTTGGGAGGTACCAAGACCTGTGTCTGATATTCTTTGCAAGTAGAAATTCGTGGTTAGATTAATTTGGCCTACATTTGTCATGATTGTCAGGAATGAGCTGAGCCATGCCACATTTGCTTGCATTTCTTTGGCTGTTAGAAGGTGGACAGTGGACCTAGACTATAATCAGCAGGACCATCCAGGAAAAGATGTAACAGTAAACAGAGGAGAGGTCAGTGCCGGTAGATCTGAAGTCCCATGAGAAGTTACCTCCCTGAATCTGACCTTGAACTTGGCAGTGTGGCTATGGCAAGTAGAGGCAGTCCTTCTATCACCTCTGCCCCCAAGCATACATACAGCATTTTCACTGAGAAATGTCAAGTGGGATCACTGCCATGTATGATTACACTCCCCACCCCCACCCTCCACTTCTTTTTTTTTAAAGAAGAAATTCTTCCAAACTTCCCCCCCTTTCATTTTAATTATTTTTTATGTGTATGGGTGTCTTACTTGCATGTATTCTTGTACCATGTGTGTACCTGGTGCCCAGGAGGCCGGAATGGGGGTGTTAGACCCCTTGGATGGGACTGGAATTGTACACTCTCATAAAGCTACCATGTGGATAGATGCTGGGAATCAAATCTGGGTCCTTTGGATGAGCCCCCACGTAATCACTGAGTCATCTTTCCAGTGGTCCTCCCCTCCCCTCCCTTCCCCTCTCCTTCCCTCCTCTCCCCTCCTCTCTTCCTCCCCACCCCTCCTCTCCCCTCCCCTCTCCTTTCCTTCCTCCCTCCTCTCTTCTCCTTTCCTTCCTCCTTCCCTCCCTTCCTCTCCTTTTTTTTTTTTTTCTTTTGTTGATGGATATTTAACAATGCATTTAGGGGCTGGGGAGATAGCTTAGTTGGTAAATGTTTGCCATGCAAGCATGAGGACCTGAGTTCGTTCCTCAGAACTCTCATTTAAAAAGTGGGATGGGGTGGGGTGGGGAGCAAAAGCCCAGGTATGGTGGCAAGCACTTACATTCCAGAGTTAGAGAGGCAGAGACAGGCAGATTCCTGGGGCTTGCTGGCCAGCCAGCCTGGCCCAATCAAGCTCCAGGCCAGTGAGAGACCTTGCCCCAAAGTTGTCCTCTGTGTATTTACACATGCACACAAACCTATAAACAGATATTTGCACATGTGCCCCCAACACTCATATATACAAAATTACAGAGGTTTTACTAGTACCTGACTTGGAAATTGAAAAGTTTAGTACTTAATGAACATCTACCAGATAGTCTCCCAATTTTAATTTCATACACCTATGAAAAAAATAAATGTAGTATACTTGTTCCCGGTGTCTGTTTAGTATGTGCATTAATGCAAATACAGGTTGAACAGCTCTAGTGCAAAGTTTTCAGATTAAGGAGATGCAACTAGTTAACATCTGTGGAAATATGCCAAAAAAGAATGAGTGTGGGGCTTGGAAGATAGCTCGGAGTTTTAAGAATATTTACTACTACTCTTGTAGAGGACCTGGGTTCATTTCCCTGTGTCTGCATCAGGTGGCTCACAACCACATGTAGCCCCCCTTCTAGGGGCCCTAGCTCCTTTTGGGATCTATAAGCACCTGCATGCATAGGTGCACATATATTCACTTAGGCACATAAGTATAAACTGGCAAGCCTTTCAAAAATAAATAAATAAACAAATAAACAAATAAATAAATAAATAAATACAAGTTTTCTTTTCTAATTATTGAACTTTGGATCTGCTGGCTGGTTGGGTGGTATAAAGTTGTATATGTGTCCAGTTCATTGTGGAGACATACGTTTGGGGCAGGAAGAGGTACTCCCACCACAACAAAGTAGACACAGATGTTTCTGTCCAGTGCAGCCTCAGCAGGAGAAAGGTGACTGAGGCTCAGCTTCATAAAGAACTACGCTATAAGACTGAGCATGGTGGCACACTCTTTTAATCCCAGCACTCAGCAGGCAAAGTCAGTTAGTCCGGCCAGCCCAATCTATGTAGTGAGTTCCAGGCCAGCTTGGGCTATAAAGTGAGAACCTGTTTCAAACAGACAAAAACAAAACTGAAGGAACTAGTTTTAGCATCCTGGGTGAAGACCGAGCTATCTATGGTCAGATCCTATATAGCAGCTCAGAGAAAGAAGAGGCTACACATGTCTTTTGCCAGAAAATTTTGGACATGCAGCTCAGGTATTCTAGGTACAATGATCTAGGGTCTTAAGAGGTCAGAGAGATGGTTCTTGCCAGGGGCTGTCTGTGGCCATTTAAGAAAACAGAGAATGGATTCTCATGGAAAAGAAGTTCACCATAAGAGCAACACTGAGGCTTCTGCAGTCTCTAGGTAGTCACGGGGGAGGTAAAGGAACCACCCAACTCCTATCTCTCTGCTTGCCTTCCAACCTGAGAACCAGTCTCTCTAACTGCAGAAAGCAAAAGTATTTGGGTAGAAATTCAGCAGCTTCCACCAAAGTACTTGACATCTCTCCTAAAGTTGAAAATTTTTTTCTGGTATATTTGCCTAAAGGAGCTGATAGAATGCAAGTTGCTTGGAATGTGGACTAGGCTGGAATGGCTTTCTTCACAGAGATGCTTTGTGAACCCAAGTGTCACAGTGTGTACACAGCTGAAATGCAGTAGCTGCTACCTTCATAAGCAAGATGATTTTTCTCCTGGTGTGTTCTCAGGTCTCTGTGGCCCTTAGCAGTGGCTCCATCCGAGTGGCCATGCTGGAAGAAAATGGAGAACGTGTCCTCATGGAAGGGAAACTCACCCACAAGATTAACACGGAGAGTTCCCTCTGGAGCCTTGAGCCGGGCAGGTGTGTTTTGGTAAGTGTGGTCACCTGTGTGCAGAGCTCCCAGGTAGATTTCAAACCTGCTGTGTTGCCTCTGGCCAAATCTTTCCAGTGAGCAGTGAGACCTTTAATTATAGTAGTTGGAACAAACTTAATTCTTTGTGTACTTAGCACCCAGCTCCTGCTCAGAATCTATCTCCATGAGCCTTCCCATTTGTATCCTCTACCCCTCAGGATCCTAGTCATTTCTGATAACTCGCTTTCCTATATATAAAGGCAAAAACAAGTACATTAAAATGAAAATGGAGGTGGCATTTTTCCTAGGTGCCAGTCTGGATTTAATAAGTTCACCAAGAGATCTCACCTAGTGTCTGTCAAGGCACAAGGTAAAGTTCAAGAATATGACAGTGAGGTGTGAATCTGAATGAAGAACTCACTTGTTACCTCCCTCCCCCAATTTGGGCTGTATGGTTGGCCAGATGTGTGCAGCTCAGCCTTCTCTCCTGAAAGCTCTGACCCTCATGAGTGGTGACTGTATGCTGGCACCCGAGAGGAAAACTGCAGCACAGCTTATCTTGGACTAACTTGTTTCCTCTTTCTTCCTACAGAGGGAACAAGTTAGGTAAGAGAGATAAAGATGAAAAGAGAAACAGTAAGTCTTTGGATAAAACAAATCTTCACATATATAACATATAAAATAAAGTATCTGTGAGATTCTACAAGAGGTGCCTAATGATGGCCGGCCTCTCTAGGGTATCCTAGTTGGTACTGGTGGGTAAAGAATAAAGCTCTCAAGCTCACAGTGACTCTGTCTTGGCTACATTCATGTTTCTGAGGGAGGCATAGGCTAGGATCTGAGTGAATTGGATTCAGTCAGTGACTGTGGGGATTGGGAGTATCTTCTGCCTCATCTTGCTATCAAATCCGAAATAGAACTTACTGTTGTTCATGTGGAGATGCCCTCCTTACTCAGGTATGTACCTAAGTGCTGGCAGGCCCTGACCTGCCTTAGGCCCTTTTGTGGTCTTCTAAGGTCCATGTAATAGATAGCTGGTGTAGTTTTCAGAGGTAAGACTGGATCTGGTTTGTTCTGTGTTCTGAATCTTCCAGCATTAAGGCCTACCTTTGCGGATGGTTAGTACTGGTGATATCCATAGGGACTTGGCCCAGAGCTCCACCAGCCGTGTATAGGCTGTATTTGTCTGATTGCTGTTCTGTACCTCACTGTTGCATATGCCTTGTCAGGGCAGCATTCCATAGCCAGAGAAAACAAAAGTACTGTTCTGCCTACCTATGGTGTAGTCAACCTCTGAAGGTTGACTTTGGGTGTCAGCATGATTGGGTTGAATGAACTGGTAAGGCATGGTGTGTGCAAGGGTATTTCAGAGAAGACTTTCATGGGTGTCGGTGATCTGAGTGGGGAAGATCTATCCTGAATATGGGCAACACAGAACCATCCAATAGGCTAGGCCCATATCGAACATGATGTGGAGGAAGAGAGACCTTTGGCCTTTCTCTGCCTGTCTCTTCCCAAGCAGGCATGCCTTTTGCCCTGGATATCAGACTCTAGTTCTTTGTCCTTTCAACTTGTATGAGTGATCATTGGGCCTTCAATATCTAACTGAGGCTGTACAACATAGATCTCTCTCATTCTGCGGATCTGACTTCCCTGGCTTTGCACCTTGCAGGTGGCCTCTGTGATCATGTGAGCCAATTTAGTATGTGTTATATATGAGAGAGAGAGAGAGAGAGAGAGAGAGAGAGAGAGAGAGAGAGCGCACGTCGTCTCACTTGTTCTGTTTCTTTGGAGAACCCTAATGCAACCTTCTTGAATGTGGCAGCTCAGTCCTTTTCCCCTTACCCTGACCTATAAAGCCTGCATATTAGTAGCGCTGTACTGAACTCCTAGGTATGAGTGTCCCAGCTCCTTTCCTTGGCATGCCACTTGAAGTTCCAGGTGTTCTTCCAGTCTCTTTTGAGCTTTGCAATGTCAGGTGGTTCTGGAGCATGAGTAACATGGCAGTACTTGACAGTTGACCTTGCACTTAGTAGGCACTGCCCATTGCTACTGTGATCACCATGCTAGGGTTCTCTGATTCTAGGGCTCCTACCTTCAAGGACTGAGAGTTCTGTGACAGCCCTATCTTCTGCCTTGGCTAGGTAAACTCTCTGCAGAGGATGGGATGAGTTAGGATCCTGTTGGGAGCCCTTTCCAAGTGGTCTGTGTCGCTCAAGCCAGCACATTCCTATGAGAATGGCCTTTGGGCTCACAGACCCCATCTGTATTCAGAATCCACTGGGATTAGAATCTGCATACTAGTAATTCCTTTACTGTATGTCTATAAAAATATGATTGTTACTAAATTACCTCTAAGTTTTTGTTGATAAATCCAACTCTGACTTCATTTAGTCCAAAGCCATGTTACTTTTGGGAGGGAGTGTCCATACTAGTGGAATAGGGTGGAGTCATACACTGTGACTCAACACCTATAATCCTTGTACTTGAGAGGCTGAAACAGAAGGGTTGCCATTAGTTTTGGGCTTGCCTAAGCTACATAATGAGAAAATATATCAAACTAATAAGAAACAATCAAAACACTGGTCCAGCAACATTGCTCAGTAGGTAAGGGTGATTGCCACCAAGCCTGATGACCTGAATTCAATCTTTAGCATTCACATGGTGAAGGGAGAAAACTGACTCCCACAAGTTGCCCTCTGATTTCTGTGTGTGTGTGTCCTGATTCACACATGTGTGCATACACACACACACACACACAGAGAGAGAGAGAGAGAGAGAGAGAGAGAGAGAGAGAGAGAGAATCTATGAAAAATTAAAGACGAGCAGGCTGTGGCTGGTAGCTCAAGCACTAACATCTCATGTCAATTGCTGCATGTTTGAATGTGTTGGTGCTTTATGAGGTGCATGGTATTCTTTGCTTCTTCAGAGTCTTAGAAGTCAGGACCTTGAGGCTTTGGATAGCATTGTTGTTTGCCCAAGTGTGGGATTGAACCTCAAAGCCACGCCTGGCTGGCTAGAGTTTTGTCTCTTGAAAAGGTCTAGCCCCTTTAATGGGGGTTGGGAAAAGTGACCCTTTGCAGCCAAGGAGAAAAAATAAGGTGAAGAGAAAAGGGAGATGATCAGTGGTTTTGAGAAGCTCTCATGTCAGATTGATGCAGGTGGTGCCTCGCCAGGCTGGAGAGATTCTTGTATTGTAACTCATTAGCCTGGCTGGAGACAGCTAGACAGACATTTTGTAGAGGACAATCAGATACAAGGTCCTCATTCCTCAGATGTAAGCAAATGCACATATTCTCTTCCTGCAGACTCCCTGAGGACTCTTCATCCATGTTTTGCTATGGTCTGGGCTTACCTGTGTACCAGTTGCTGATAGGGTTTTAGTTTGATTTTTTTGCCAGATACCTACTGTCTGCAGAGTTTATGAAAAGAAACAACTAGCTGCATTCAGATGCCACCATAAACATGGCATCTGTGGATACTATGCCATCTTTAGTAGAGCCAAAATAAGCCCCTTGGAACTGAGATAACACACCCATCAATTCCTGTCCCTCAGAGTTGCTGGTACCATTACTGGACGGATTTTATTTTTAGGGGAGCATCATGTGTGGACAATAAGGGATTTGAGAAAGAAGAGCCATAGACACTATAACCACTTCTTCTGGCACTCTCATCAGCCTGGGTCCTTGCCTGTACTTGGGGTCCCTTCCTGATGAGAGGTGCAGGACTCGTCTTCCATCCCCTTCTGACTGTGCAGCTTTAACAAGTAAGTGCTGTATGTTATGGAATGTGTCCAGTTACAGACACTAAAGGTTTGGTGTGTTTTTACTTTATTTATTGATTACCTGTTTGGGGCCATTTTTTTTTCCTTCTGATTGCATACATGAGACAATCCTATAAATTATTGAGCTTGTTTTTGCTCCGCTCAACACATTGTATCTGCTGTATGGACTCAGCATGTGGATTAAGAAAAGGTTGCCTATCAGGGGGCCTGCCTGTGAGCCGTCGTGGTAGCCACGCTTGAGGTTTGTATGATCCTTGCAATGAGCACCTGCCTCCTGATCTCCACATGCCTACTTAGTGCTTTTGTTAGGCCTGTGGACATGACCTCTTTTGGAGAAAAGGACTTTGCAAGTGTAATTCAGAATCTCAGCATGAGATCATTCTGGATTTTCTTGGTGACCCCTGAATTCAGTGAACGACCAGAACTAAAAGAACCAGAAGAAGATGCATAGACACAGAGAAGTTCATGAAGACCAGGCAAAGACTAGAATGGTGTGGTCATAAACCAAGGGATGCCAGCAGCCACTAGAAGCTGAAAGAAGCCAGAAGGATCTTTCCTTGAAGCCTGCAGGGGAGCACAATCATACCTACTCCTTGATTTTGGACATCTGGTCTCCAGAGCTACAAGAAATGGACGGGTGATGTTTTAGTACCCTCTCCTGGCCCAGTCTGATTTTTGTCCTAGCAGCCATCGGACACTCACATAGGGCCCTTGTGGCCTCTGTGAAGAGGAGTGGCGTTTGGAGCTGTTATTGGTACCCAGACTCTGCAATAGGAGTTTCTGACCTTCTTACCTCACAGCATGGGAGTGCAGACATGCCACTTGCTTCTCAGCACCTTCCACGTGTCCTGTTTCTCCTCCCTTTTTCGGTGGATCCCACACCAGACAGTCAGGGCAGGCAGGGGTGGCAGCTAAAACCGTGTGACAGTTCTTGCCTCCCTCCCTCCCACACTTGAGAATGTTAAATGAGACTTCTTGACTCAGGCAAGCTCCTTGCCTGGTTACGGAGATGTAAAATCAGCCGTGGCAACGGCACCAGCTACTTTTCCTGATTCTTCATTGGGTTGCAGAAAGCCAGGCACTGAGCCTGTGCATTGTCCTCGTTTCTTCTTCCCTGTGGAGAACTGGCAAGCTGGCTGCCCTCGGCATTGCGTGGGTAGCTGTAGGCAGGCGGCATGCTCTGCTTCAGGGTCTCTCAGACATGGCTGTGTTGGCAAGGTAGTTGGAGCTGCCT